TTTAAAGTCTGGCGAATTGGCCGCAACTTTTCGAATTTATTAAAAAACCTAAGTCGCGATCCTTTTCCGTAATGGGTTGAATAAATGAAACTACTGGAAAGAATCAATAGGTCAATGTAGTGGTTCCCAAACTTTTCCTAGTCGCTGCGCCCTTTTTCAATTAAAATTATCCATGGTACCCTACCCCAAGTATGACTATTCGTAAGTAAGAGATAAAAATAAATAAAACTCGTGTAACTTCATTTTTTACTTTATTAATATTAAATTAATATTTAATAATTAATGTGCTGAATGAGCCTGCAAATTACTGCACATTTTCTCAAATTGAAGCTTTCACAATATTTCGCGGCGCCCCTGTAAAGAGGCCGCGGCTCCTTGGGGTACCGCGGTGCACAGTTTGGGAATCACTGGGTTAATGGACCATTTTTGATCAGAGGTATGAAGACCAGGATCATGTGTCCTTATACTATGCTCGCGATCTCCTTTCATTATTTAGAAGGGGTTTGAACTCGTATTTGTATAGAAACCTAAGTGAACTCACCTCTTCTTGTGTCCCATAACACAGTAGATATGATAATCTTCAAGCTTCGGGCCGTGGAATTAGTACATTTCCAGGCGTTTATTCTGCATCGCCATTGAGCCTTATTATTTTTTAGCGGCAACTACAGCTACTTTACTTGTCTTTTGACTAATTCTAGTTTTGGTCTAAGAGTGGTATAGTTCACTAACGATGCTGGCGAATTTTTTAGGAATGTACAAAGCCCACTGTCGAACGGAAGAAATTATCATGGCCATAATGGCAGAGTATTCTTGACAAAGTGCGTTAATCTGGACTTTCGAATATTTTTAGTTTATTGACTGATCTGGCTTTCAAGATATGATAATTTTGCAATTATTTTCCATTATAATTTTTATTAATCATTTACCTAAATCATAAATTATTAAAATATTATATTCTTACTGTTATGAATTCCACTGAATAAGTTATATTTTTAATGTTTTAGATCGTAGATGCGGGGTCTTTTTTCAGTCATTTTTTCTTCTAAATGTATAGAATTAATAGAAGCAGAATGTCATATGTCTAGCTTAGTTATGGATAGGTGGTAATTCTTAATGGACATTAACAGGAACAGGAACTACTAGATTGAATTAAGGGTTTAAAGTCATCGTCAATAAGCATTCGTTTCTGGATTCATCTTATAAGAAATCTTGAGAAAGTGTTGCCGATATTAATGAGGTAAATCTCGATTAGTGGTAGCTCAGTTAATCGAATGTTGACTGGTGTAGATTTTTAAGATGACGGCAAGTTTAAACCACTGAAAGAGGCTATAGAAATTATGAGCAAGATTTCTAGATGCTCCTTCTGCAATAATCTAATATTCATATAAATTGAACATACTTGAAGCAGTGTTTTTCAAGTTTAATGAAATAGCTACTTGTCCATTTAGGTGACATTGATTCTTATACAGTCACCTAGCTAAGGAAGGCGATTCACTTAGTCGAATAAGCTAAACTTTTGACCATTCATACTAGTTTACTCATTTCCAGGTTCATCAACCCAATTAGACTCAAATTCGAGGTTATGCAATGATAATCTTACATTTTCTTGGATCAT